GAAGTCCAAAGGCCACCCACCTCCATCCAGGTCTAGTAAGGTGAGCATCCAAACTGCCTAGGCTTCCACAAAGCCAGTACGTGCAGTAGGGTCTCTGTCTCTGTCTCCTTTAATCGCCTGATGAAGGTTAATATTCAGCAGGATGCCTATATGTTTTTCTTTGGGTTCTCCTTATTTAGCTTCTCTAGGATAACTAATTATAAGCTCAATGTCCTTTGTTTATGGCTAGAAACCAAATATGAGTGAGTACATCCCATGTTCCTCTTTTTGTGTCTGGCTTACCTCACTCAGGAGAGTGTTTTCTATTTTCATCAATTTGCATGCAAAATTCAAGAAGTTCTTGTTTTTTACTGCTGAGTAGTACTCTAATATGTATATATTCCCATGGCTATTTTATTTCTTCAAAGTGTAAGCTAGAGTCTGAACCTAAAAGAAACTCAAGGATGGTAATGTATGTGGAATGCATTGTTTATTCTAGATTCTCTGCTCTTTGAGCATTTGCCAGAGATGGATGCATGCTATCATTGTGCAGATTTTTCTTTATTAATCTCTTAAGTGTGAACAGTGTTTTCTCACTGGAAAGGTATATTCTAGAATATCTGCACTTCCAGCATTGTAGAATAATGTTGGTGAGAAAAGGTCTCTTATGTTTTTATATGAGACCTCGATTTCATTCTGTGGCATTCCAGCTCAATGACCTTGCTGTCTTGATTTAAAATTCTTTTTTTTTTTTTGAGACAAGGTTTCTCTGTAGCTTTGGTCCCTGTTTCAGAACTAGCTTTTGTAAATCAGGCTGGCCTTGAACTCCAAGAGACCGGCCTGCCTCTGCCTCCCAAGTGCTGGGATTAAAGGCGTGTGTCACCACCACCCGGTAATGATTCAAAATTTTTAAATGACTGTGTGGCCTCAGACTTTTGAAATTACCCACTTGAGTCATGAACTCCACTATTCATTAACTCACAGGAGAAGGACCTGCATGTAGAACATGGTGTCTGCCTTCAGATCAGAATAGAAAGAATAGTTAACAGAGAGCACTACAGGCGAAATGGGAGGAAATCAGCTGCTGGAGTCACCAGTCTGAGAAAGGACCTGATTGTGGCAGTGTGGTAGTTTCAAGGTTATTGGCTCCTATAATCTCATAGGGATTGTTGCTATTACAAAGTGTATCTTTGTTGGAATCTGTATGGTCTTATTGAAAGAAGTGTGGCACTGGGGATGGGCTTTGAGAATTCCTATATTCTGGATACTGCCAAGCATTTCAGTCAACTTCCTGTGGCCTGCAGCAAAATTGTCCTGCACAACATATTCTCCCCACCATAATGACAATGGACAACTTCTGGAAGTCTAAAATAGCCACCCCGATTAAATGTTTTTTAATACGGGTTATGGTGCTCATTGTATCTCTTCACATGCATAAAATTCTTAAGTAACACAGGTGGTTTCTGTAATTTTTTTTTTTTTGGTTTTTCGGGATAGGCTTTCTCTGTAGCTTTGGAGCCTCTCCTAGAACTAGCTCTAGTAGACAATGTTGGCCTTGAACTCACAAAGATCTATCTGCCTCTGCCTCCTGAGGGCTGAGATTAAAGGCGTTTGTTTTTGAAAGACGATATTTTTCTGTGTAGCTCTGGGTACTTAATGTAGCTCCTTAAACCATGTTGTCCTTACTCACAAATACAAATGATTCTGGCTTCTGCACAGAGGGATTAATGACAAAACAACAGTGTTGTTTGTGTGTGTGTTTGTGTTTGTGTGTGTATTGTTTGATTGTCTGATGAGGCTGGAATGTAGATTTTTATATATTTCAATGATAAACATCTATGCTAAACTTCACCTACATCTTGAAATTTGAAGTTTGGTGGAGGGTATCATTCTCTTTCCCAGGAGTGTAGTATGCATGACATTAATACCTCTGCCTTGTGAATCATTGCAGTGCAGGAGTGTGACTTTCTACCTGCCTCTAATTTTTTTCTTTTGAATGCTTTCAATGAATATGAGGTTGTATCTATATACAAGGGTATGTACCACATGTGTTCTTGTTCCTCATGGTAGTCACAAGAGACGACAGCACCTATGATGTTGAAGTAATGGATAATTGCAAGTCCCCTTTAGTACTGGCAATTTTCCCACTCATCTGCAAGGACAGCAAAACTGCTTAATTGCTGACCCATCTCCCTTACTCTATGTTGTTTATGATCATCATTTGCGGGGCTGATGTTTTCTTTGTTCCATTTGTAACTGTTTAAACATGCACTCCATTTATTCAGATCTTAGTATGCAACAGTTTAAACTGGGCAACTACAGGTTCTCGAAGATGAATGTAGAACTAAAGTGAATACAAAAGTTTCTAGCCGGGCGGTGGTGGAGCACGCCTTTAATCCCAGCACTCGAGAGGCAGGTGGATCTCTGTGAGTTCGAGACCAGCCTGGTCTACAAGAGCTAGTGCCAGGACAGGCTCCAAAGCCACAGAGAAACCCTGTCTCAAAAAAAAAAAAGTTTCTGTAAGTTCTTCAGTAGATCCTCTGATTTCCTATTACATTTTTTATTTGAGTGATTTTTGGATGGATACTGGGATTTATTAATTTGTAACTCTGGCTTACCTTTAACTCTGCATAGGTTTTGACTGACATCCAACTCAATTTAATTCATCTGCTTTTATATTGATTGCTGGGATTAAAGGCAAGTGTCAGTATACCCAATTTCCCCATCTCTTTTTTAAATAATCATTGCTCTTACTATTTCTGTAATGTTTTCTCAGTAGTGTTGATCTGCTTGCTTCTCTGTGTCTCTATGTCTGTTCATTGGCATTTCTTTCTTAAAGCCGTATCCTATTTAAAGGGCCAAGGAAGGGCACATAGGAACCTCTTCTTCAGTTTCCTTCTAAAGTGACTGGTGATTACATTATAATGTAATGTAATGAAAGAAGTATGGGAAGCTGCAACATTATACAAATATACCATTTTAAAAGAAGTATCCAATGTCAGGATCACACTTTGTTTTACTGTTGGTTGAATTATTCTAGAATTCAGTGACCTTTGAGGATGTGCACATTGACTTCACTGAGCATGAGTGGATTTTGCTGAATCCTTCCCAAAAGAGTCTCTACAAAGATGTGATGCTGGAGACATACAGGAACCTCACTGCTACTGGTAGGACTGTGAACTTTCCTTTACATTTTAAAATAAGGGGATTACTCTGTATTATTTATTTATACTTTTGGTATATGTGTTTGAGAAAGAGTAAAAATGAGTCAAATAATTAAGGCATAGGTCACTTAAGATATTCAATTTTGTACATATGATTAATATATTATTTACTTTTTGTTACTGTATTAGGCTACAGTTTGGAAGACCATAATTTTGAAGAGTATTGTCAAAGTGCTAAAAAACATGGAAGGTAATTTTTATTTGCAACTTGGTATATATTTGTCTCTGAAGAAGTTTTAATTTGTCCTGGAACACTTAAAGAAAAACAATAATATAAATGAACACAGCTTAAAGTATATTGATGTGTATTAATATCTCATAAAACCATATGCCTCAATATAACATAAATGGTCTATGTTTCCAAGGCATTCCTCTAAAATCAGAAGAGAAACAAATGATTCCTTACCTGATCCCACCATTTGAGTCCTAGTCCCATGAGAACTATGCTGTAGAGCTGCCAATCCATTTAGTTTCATAGCACTCAGATACTGCACAGGGAACACACATACACACATTGACTAGATAATAAATCTATGTTTAGAACTGACCAAAAAATAAATACTCAGTAGTAAAGCCAGTGTTACTTGACTAGATAATAAGTCTATGTTTAGAACTGACCAAAAAATAAATACTCAGTAGTAAAGCCAGTGTTACTTATGTACTTGTGACTTTGCCAAACTTATTGAAAGAGTTAGTTTATGAGAGTCAAAAAGTCTCATCTTGAGAAAGCTTAATTCCTATACTACATGTTTGTGATGAAACTCTGTAAATTCAATTGAAAACCATTTATTTCTTCTTCATTTGATAAGAATGTCATATGTCACAAGTGAGCTTCCCAAAATGAAAAGAGAGACTGTATCTCCTTCAGAATAATGAGAAGATATGAAAGATATTTAGTATTTCAACACTGGGTAGATTTGTTGAATGTGCTATAAGATTATATGTAATTCATTTTCAAATTTTTTGGGAAGATATCAGCAAACTCACACTGAAGTTAAGCCCTATGAGTGTTGGAATGTGTACTTACTTTTGTTTGTCCTCGTACACTTTCTTGTGGTAGATATTGCACTACAAGAAAACATAAGAATCCAAAAGAAATGTAAGGTTATTTAAAACTGAGTTAGTCTAGTTCCTTTCAAATATGTAAAAAAAAATCATATTAAATCATGCTATGAATGTGGGTCATTTGGAAACAGACCCTTACCATCAAAGGTTCTTCATAGACACAAAACATCCCATACTATAGGAGAGCACCATGAATGTAAAACTGAAAATCTTATTCCTCTTTACAATAAAGCAAAATTATAAAATTAATTCATATAGATACTAAGATTCATCAGGGTAATGTACATGGTAAAACTTTTGCATTTGCCAATTATCTTTGCAGGTATGAAAGAATCCATAATGGAAAGAAACTCTCTGAGTATGCTCAATGCGTTAAATCATTTGCATGTTATAGTCATCTTCAAAGACATGAAAACAATTATTTTACAGAGAAGCCATATGATGGTATTCAATATGCTGAAGCCTTTGGAAATACCAGTTGTCTCCAAATACTTAAAAGAAGAACACAAGCTGGAGAGAAACCAAATGAATATAATCAAGGTGGTAAGGACTTTTCATATGTAAGAAGTCTCCAAGTTCACAACAGATTACACACTGGAGAGAAAACCTACAAATGTAATCAATGTGATAAAGCTTTTTCAAAATGCTTTAAACTCCAAACACACAAAAGAACACATACTAAAGAGAGACCCTATGAATGTAATGAATGTGGTAAAGCATTTTCACGACAAGATAGTCTCCAACTACATAAAAGAACACATACTGGAGAGAAACCCTACACATGTAATCAATGTGGTAAAGCCTTTTCAATTAAGAGTAATCTTCAAGTACATCAAAGGACACATACTGGAGAGAAGCCTCATCAATGTAATCAATGTGATAAAGCTTTTGTGAGTCATGGTGAGCTTCACAGACATAAAAGAAGACATACTGGAAAGAAGCCCTTTGAATGTAATCAATGTGATAAAGCTTTCTGGGAGCACTCTAAACTCCGAATACACAAAACAACACACACTGGAGAGAAACCCTATGAATGTAATCAATGTGGTAAAGGCTTTTCATATATCAATAGTCTCCAAGTTCACAAAAGAACGCATACTGGAGAAAAACCATATGAATGTGATCAATGTGATAAAGCCTTTTCACAATTCATTAATCTACAAACACATAAAAGAACACATACTGGAGAGAAGCCATATGAATGTAATCAATGTGATAAAGCCTTTTCACATTGCAGTAGTCTAAAATCACATAAAAGAACACATACTGGAGAGAAACCTTATAAATGTAATCAATGTAGTAAGGCCTTTGCATGTCATAAAAGTGCACGCATCCATAAAGGAACACATGCTGAATAGAAACCCTACAATTTTAGCAAATGTGGTAGAGCCTTTGTATGTGGCAACAGGCTTTAAATCTTGAGAAAAAATCATACTGCAAAGAAACCTTTTTTTTAATTTTTGAGACAGTGTTTCTCTGTAACATTGGAATCTGTTGTGGAACTCACGTATAGAAGAGGCTGGCCTTACACTCACAGAGATTTGTCTGTCTCCCAAGTGCTGGATTACAGGGGTGTGCCTCCACAGTTTAGCCTGTCAAACGCTTTAAGTGCAATCAGTGTGGTAAAGTTTTCTTCTTCTTGGTAGTCTTTATACAAGAGTAAACGTTTGGTGGAAAAGAGGTCTATTAAGGCCTTTGCATATCACAGTACTCTGAGGTCTTCAGAAGATTCCTACTAAAGGGACTGTAACTGTAAATGTTTTTGAAATATCTTCATCCAATACACATTTACTTACATAAGACTGAGAAGAAAACAAGTCTACAAGTATCATAACTGTTCAAGCATTATAAAGTCTCTATTTTGTTCGCACCTGCAAAATTATATGGACAGAAGTCCTATGAATTCACTGATAAGGTAACTATTTTTGATTTTGCACTTTTCTTCAATTATATAAATACAGCTATCTCTAGAAATTAGCTGACTTTGGGATATAACCAGGCTACCTTAATGATAAACAATTATATTTTTACTTATTATAAGAGAAAACTCATGCCACAGGAATGGAAAGTCCAAGTTCCACTGTGTCCCATGGGAATCACCCAGATAGCAAGCACCTGGTCTACCCCAGTTTTTTCTCCTGGGCTCCAGGAAGCCATGCCTTAACTAGATTCCACTTCTTTAAGATGATTGGTTAACAAAGCTTCCCCTATCACTTATCCAGATGTAAAATTTGGTAGATGGGTATGAGTGCCTCTTCTGTGTCTGTGATGAATCATAATGTCTAAGTCACTTAATAAAAGCGTTTAATGTGACTCTGGGTTCCAGACGGTTACATGATTACTTTGACAGTGTTGTCACAAGAAGTCTCAGACATGACACCTACACCGGGAAGTGAAGGACTCATATACTTAGCCTGTATCATGAACCAGGTATAGGATCTTGAAATGGTGTGTGAATGTATACTCTCAGTAAAAAACCCATGACATTTCTTCCAGTATGACAATATGTTCTAAATTTTCCCAAATGATGCCACTAATTGAAAATGATTAATTTCTGTAACTTCAAATCTACATTCTTGCTTTTTATTGCATGAACCAAATCATCATTGAGAAAAACTGTGGAAATAAGCCTTTAATACCTCAACACCTGGGTTACAGGAATGCATGCTTAGAGGAGGAAAATATTCATGAGCGAAAAATTGTTTAAAGATTTTATTTAATTTTAATCATGTTATTTTAGTGTGCCTTGGTTTGGGAAAATAAATATTCATGCTTGCTCCCAGGAAGGTTAGACCATTGGGTATTCCTGTTGCAGGCAGGACTACAGAAACTTCTGAAAAACCTAACCTTCATCCTGATGATGAACTTGTCCTAAATTCTTGTCTATGTCTTTGCCCTGTTTTTATGTTAAAGACATTATTTTTTATCATCTTAACATCAGATAATAGGGAAGAACTCATGAAAGAGAAAAACCTCCTTCATGTAAATAATATGGTAAAGACTTTAGACATCATTTAGAGGTCTTTATTGTCCAGAAATTCTTTATATATTTTTCATCATGAAGGTTAGTCATTTACTCTCTTCACTCAAGTCTGATGGTGGAAATTTCTCCATTACAATTTCTGGTTAGTGAGAGATATTAAAGTGTTCTATACATTTATCAAATCCTTTCAATGAAGTTTATTTTGTGCTCTTTGTTTTCTCTCTGTGATTTTTGTACATCTCCCACTGTGCTTTCACTAAGTGATAGGTATTTTTCTGCTTAAATATATAGAATGAGATGTCCATAATCTAAGTGAAACATTTTTTTAATGTTCGATAGTGTATATTCATTCCTTTTAAGTAATGCTGTCTGCGAAAGGGTGATGAAATTTTTTCCTGCATTTGTTTTTCATCTTTTCACAAATTCCCATGAGATGCCATTTGCTATCCAGTCTAGCTTGTATGTCATGAATTAGTTATTAATAGATCTGAACTCATAATCATCATGGGCCAGTCTCTTGAATATAAGTACAAGGGTACATGTTAGACCCCAACATTTGCTGTTTCGTCTACATATCTTATCAAAATTAATGTTAAAATGCATAATAGGATAGATTATAGCAAACATTACCTCATATGTGTATCCACAGCATCATTTTCATCAAACTGGTAGAGATATGAAATATTAGATAATCAGTAATCTATTGAATATTTTAAAGTATAGCTTGATGTCCTGTGGGTATGTATATATTATGTGAAGCTCTATGCATCTTCCTGTCCCCATTAGTTATCCATTTTTCACTTCATCATGTAGTGCTTCCTTCTAAGGGAATTATCCGGAGATGCCAGGTAATGAAACATCAATGAGATTTATTTGAAAAAAGTTTCTGTTATATGTAAGTGTGATGTAATTATGGAATTTTAGCCCTGACACATATGTGAAGACCATAAGACAAGTTTTTGGGGTGGACTCTTGGCTTTCCTCATATGGTAATCAAGATTAGGTTACCAGGCTTGCACACCGCACACATTTCCCACTAAGGCAGTACCCTGATTAATTGAAACATTCTATCAGAAAATTATTCCCATTTTTAAGATTGTAAACATGATTTAATTGAAGAAAAGAGGAATGACAACAACTTAAATAATAAAGCATATGTTCAAGGAAACTGATAAACTGCTATCTCTTTTGTTTTTCCCTTTATTGTAGAATGTGTTATCCTTAGGACTCAACACTTGTTGGTCACATTTTCTCAGAACCTCAGTGAATACCATAGTATTTCTCAGTACAGAAAGGTTTTTGCTGCTGTTTGATGACTTGAGTTTGTCATTGATTATACTGAGTATAAAGTGGAGGTAAAAGTGGAGGCCATCAGAGGGTATCTGATCCCCTTTCACTGGAGTTAAAGAGAATTGTGAGCGATTTTGTGGATTCTGGAAATCAAAGTCAGGCCCTGTGGATGAGCAACCAGTGTTCTCATCTGCTGAGCCATCTATTCAGCCTAGTGAACATGTCATTATAGCAGTAAGGTGTGAATGGGTGATCCTAAGTTCTTCTTTGCCCCACCTCTTATGACCCAAAAGAAATACAATATGGGCAGCATCAGAAACCAACTTAGAAATATGCACAAGGATGTCTTTGAGCCCAAATCTCCATAAAACAATGGAACAGTACAAAATTTTTCAGGAGAGACTGAAAATATAAGTGTTTAAAAAGTGACAGACTCGGGGGCTGGAGAGATGGCTCAGTGGTTAAGAGCACTGACTGCTCTTCCAGAGGTCCTGAGTTCAATTCCCAGCAACCACATGGTGGCTCACAACCATATGTAATGAGATCTGGTGCCCTCTTCTGGCCTGCAGGCATATATGCAGGCAGAATACGGTATACACAATAAATTAATTAATTAATTAATTTAAAAAAAGTGACAGACTCTTAATGAAATCACAAACCTGAGTTTAGCCCAAAGTTGGTAAATAGCAATCAGATACCCCAAGTATACAGGGCAGGTGGAGCCCTGCTTTAGTTTATGCCTCCTTTATGGAGATAAAGGGAATTTACAGGCCTGAAGAATGACTTTTCTGAATGTGAATGTGTCTGCTTCCCTGATGACTGTAAAACTTTTAATTAGGAGACTTGAATGGTGGTGACTTCAAATGATGCACAGATTTTCAAAAAATTCTCATACTTAAAAAGAAGTCACTGTAAGGCTTGGACAATCAGGCATTTATAGAGAGAGAGAGAGCTGTGGAGTATTGAATTGTTAGGGAGAAACCATTGCCCATTAAAACCCAATCAAATAGGCAGAGGCAATGCTTGGGCTGTACCTGAGCACAGGCTCACTCCGACTGTGCTCTCTGTATCTACTCAACTGTGGTGAAAGGCATTTAGATCATATAAAGATTTGGATATTAAGAATAGTGCTGCTATGACCATAGTTGATCATGTATCCTTGTGGTATGATTGAGAATACATTAGGTATGTACCCAATAGTGATAATGCTGGATCTTGAGAGTAGATTGATTCCCAATTTTCTGATCAACCACCATATTGATTTCAAGTTGACTACACAATTATGCACTTCCACCAGCAATGGAGGAATGTCCCACTTACTCCACATCTTCTCCACCAAAAGCTGTCCTCAGCGTTTTTGATCTTATTTACTCTAACAGGTGTACGATGGTATCTCTAATGACTAAGTATGTTGATCAATTTCTCAAAGTCTTTGCCAATTAAGAGTCTTCACTTGGGAACTCTCTGTCATTATCCTTTCCTATCTTTTTTTAATTGGATTATTAGGTATTTTATGGCTAGATTTTTGAGTTATATATTTGGTTTTTAGTTTTTAAATTTTTCTTAATTTAAATTTTGATAATCAAATATATATATATACATATAATATTTAGTGTGTGCATGAATTTCTGGTTGTTCCAAACCTCACTTGATAGTTTAGACTGTCCTAGGACATAAGTGAGGTCTACACACATTGTCTCCAGAATGTATGCATAATACATGCGCACAGCACATCAGGATAACATGTTTTTTTATTGGCTTAATGAGAATGAGTGTCTGAGCCCGGTTAGTTTAGGAAGCCAGAGCATAGACTCTGGTCCTAATTCAAGTCACAAAATGGCTCCCATCAAACACAATACTTCTTCCATAACGTCTACTCTTTTCAAATATTTAAACGAAAGTTTTTCTTTATCATTGAGTCAATTATAACTAATCAAGGGACTAGCACATAGTTCTGAATTTATTCAAAAGATAGTAAAACACAGGCTTACAGAGATCAGTGCTCTTATAATG